GCCGCAAGCCATCAGAGCCTTTCAATGCACCTCCGACACGGCCAGCGGCATGGCGGCTCGGGTGCGACCGGTAGCCTGGGTGTGGCGAGGGCTGGACCTGCACGCCAGCCTCTACGGGAGAAGCAGCGGTGCTCTGCTGCCTGCGTGAGCCTCATCGCGAATGCCGTAGATATTAAGGAATGTGCTACTTCTTCCAACCTTTCAGTGCTCTGTCTCTGTGCGCGCAGATGGGCGTTGGGAGACAGAAAGCCAAGTACAGCTAAGTGCACTGAAATGCTTTGCAGCTTTTGAAAATTTCATCCAGCATCTGAATCTGTTTATCTAACCTTTTTTTCCCTCTCCTCCCTTTTCTTTCTCAGAGAATTGCTCCTACTGTGCGGATGAAATGCACCAAAATGCAAACAAGCGAAATGTGGAGCTGAGTGACGTTGAATGCGAGTTCCTCCATTGCCAGATGTGAAAAGAACAAGTGGCTTGAAAACCGTAATTTGTTTTAAAAAAAATATAATGTGGTACTTCTGAGCAATTTGATGATTTAATGAGCACAGATGGATGTGGGATGAATTTCTAGGAGACAAGTGTTTTAATGTATCTGCTCAGCTTATTCCAGGACTAAGCATTATCCTTCGTAGTGCATGAAGGTAATTAATATTCCCCATTATGGGCATGAAAAAAGCCATATGATCAGTTAAGGAATGCAGATACACCAATGATATGGAAGTTGATTCATAAATCAATTAGAGAATCTCGCCTGCTGTGCCTAATTAGGGTTACTTCAATTATAGCTTATTTTCAGATTTAAGACTCAAGAATTAAAACGCTTAAAATTAGAGTAAGTTCCTTACCACCATATACTGCAATTGGAAGTATTTGCTCAGTTTTAGCAGTCTAAATCTATTTACTCCTGATTCCAGCACGGCTGAGCAGACGCAGCTAACCCATGTTCCCCTGATTCTATTCTGCAGCTTAAAATTGTCATCACTTAAACGTTTCACTCTCCAGACCATCCTGAGGTGAACTAAGAAATTTATAGGATATGGGAGTAGCCCTGGCATGTCAAATAATGTGCCTGGACTTCTCTAGAGTAAAGCTTTGAGAGCAGCACCTCAACAGTCAGCTCTGGAGACGTCAGGGGATGTTCTTCCCAGCTTCTTTTCATGGCGACATTTAACTAAAGGTGCAGCATTTCACTGATTTAGTTACACCGGTGCTAAATCTGGTTTATATTGATTTAGCTTTTCTTATAGCATTAATCTAAAGTGATGTAGACCAAATTAAGTGTGCCTAAATAGGGATTGGTTTTTCACTCCTTTTACTAAATTGCTTTTTCATGGATTTTAAGGACAAGAGACTACTGTGATAGTCTGCTCTCACTGCCTTCATTACAATGCTGAAGGACTTGCCTGTATTTATTTCTGCTTGAAGTCTAATAGCTGCACTTGAACAACAGCATCTCTTTTAGACAAAATGCCCAGTCTAGAGCAAAAATTTTCCCATGTCTGTTTTGTCTGGAGTCTCTTACAGACTGTTACCAAGCCATTCCTAAGCCTGCTCTTTACCAGGTGTCCCAGAGCTCCCTGTATCACTCACTGCAAGTATATTGTTTTAAATCTTCCATCGTTCTTATGGTGCTTCTCTGAGGCCACTCCACTTTGCCTCACATTTGGCTTTTCTGAAATACCCTGTTACTCTGTATTCTCTTTACCAATGCATTGAATTAACTCTGTACCAAGGGGTCTGCGCTCTTCACCACCTACCTCCCACTTCAGTCCTCCATTCCGCAGCAGCAAAGACTTTAGGTTGGACAGTGCAGGTCCAAGACCCAGCTCGTGCTGGGCTACGCTAAATACATACACAATATTTTTCTAGTGATTTCTGATGTAGAGTTACATTTGATGCCAGTGAATCAGTTTTCTATCCACTTCGTATCTGCTGTGTCGGTTGTGTACGGTGTACTCAGTAAGACATTTTAAGGTAACAAACCAGATGCCTTAGAAAAGTTTGAATTCGTTGCAGTGTCATTGTTACCTTCCCAACCACGTTTCAACCTGCATTCAGTAAAACACCGTGCAAGGTGTGAACTGTCCTGTAGTATCGCTCATTCTGCCCTGCATCATCTGCTCCATGACCCCAAATGGACTGAGGGTTAGCTGGCTTGCCCAGTCCTTTCCCTTCAGCCTCTTTCATGCATTCAGATAAAAATAGTTTCTTTCAAACTTCTGGAACTTTGCTATTGTTCCAAAATTGTTTTAAATATCAACTCCAGAGAGTTCCCGAGACTGCTTTTTGAAAACACTTTGAGGCTTTTGTAAAAAAACATGTTCTCCTCAATCACTTTTTGAGTGGAAAGCATTTCAATAGCATTGTATCAGTGCATTATCTGTTCCCTTCCCAGTCCTCAAACTGCAGTCTTGTAGAAAATATTTACCAGAAGCCAGTATGATGCTGCACCTAGCTCTTTTCTGTACCCCTGTTTCTAGTCAGTTATCTCTCTCTCCATCTGCTTTTGTATTTCAGTGTTCCTACTCTATTCTTTTTGGGTTTGCAAGGTCAGCTACTCAAAGACACCAAGGTGCAGAGCAGGCTGCTGAAATGAACTCCAGAATCACTGGTACATTCCTCTCTAGAAATAAGATACGTTTCTGGCAACAGGTCACTGAAGATGGCACTACCTGTAAGTATCCTAAACAAGGAGAATTTGAAACTGTCTTTGGTATTGCAGAACAGGACAGAAAGGGCCTTGATGAGCAAACATATCACCCCTGTTGCCCCCAGGCAGGAAGCACCACATGACAACTCCATAAGTTTATTAAAACATAGGTATCTCACTTGAAATAGCCTCTGCTAACAGCATTTACACCCTCTGGGCTGAGAAAGCACTGCTGTCCTCCATCTTTAGATCAGGGCTGTACAGTGTCACGGACAGGTGCTGCTCACCACTTTTTCAATCAATGAACGTTAAACCTGCGCTGTGTGTCAAAGGATTTTCAATGGGCAGATGCATGTAAGCCCTCTCTTCCTGAAAGACAGCTGAGCCACCTATAGTCAATCCACAGAGCGTCAAAACTGCAATAACCCTTGAGCAGGTTCAACTTGCAGCCCTCCTCCAAGTGCTCCCTGAGGATGCAGACGACCTCAGGAGATACTCAGCTTACCTTTCCCGGGGCAAAGGCTTGGGCTCTGGCCGAATAGCTGCCATGGAAGAGAGGGGCTGCCTGGCAGGAGAAGGGATGGAAAAATTCAAATCCAAGGAGCCTGTTTTTCTGTGCAGAGGCTCCAGCCCCATGGCTCCCTGCATTTCGCTCTCAATAGGGCATGAGCCAGCCCTGCCGTGGCTGGAGAGGGAGGAGAGCTCGGGTCCCACTGCCCCTTGCAGGACTCCTTCGATGGCTGCCTGGGGGTCATGCGTGGGGGACACAGACGGCGGGGAACGTGACTTCTTTTTTGTTGATGCTCCTGCTAGAAGTTTCAGCAGCCCACTCTTCTTCTCCTTCTGCAAAGGAACCAAAGAAAATATGGGCAGTGAGCAGACATACCAACTCCCTTTTTTTTTCTTTTGGAAAATCCCAATATGTGTGGCAGGAAACCTCCTAAAACTGCCATGACAAGAGGTGGATCCAGGCAGAACTTGAGCTTTTGGCAATAAAGATCCTATGAAAATCCCTCCCCACCCAACAGGACTCCAACTCCTTCAGCAGAGAAAGGACATAACAAACTGCAAAGACTATCTCCATTTTCAAATCCACCCAGGCAGTGATCATCTGCCTTTTGAAAGAAATACTGCAATTACAGTGGGACAGCAAAGCTACAAGCTTCCCAAGCAGAGAAGGTGGCAATTGAAGTACTGCCCTCCCTCTTCCAGGAGAATCCTGTCCCTCACCGGAGAAACTCCCCAGAAGTAACAAATCCGACCCTAAGGCTAAAAACCTCCTCCGGGAAGCTCAAGGGTCTGAGGAGGGATTTCAGATTCTAGCGCTCATCATTACTGCCTCGTTTACTACCTGATGCAGATTCACTGTAGGGAGAACGGAGGCACAGGACGGAGGTTGAACAGCTCTTTGCAGCGCGTGCTCCCCTTCGCATCCTGCACCACACAGCCGTACCTATTCGCGCCTCCCTCCCGGCAGTGGGTCACTTCTCCTTATGTGTTAAGGTAAAGGTATCACCTTTATGTTTAAGATAGACCAATTTTGTGGTCACAATTGGCAACTGCAGTGGCAGTGCATGGGAGGTTTAAAATTTCTACAAGGGTTTCTGATACAGAGGAACGAAAACAAGATAACAGCACCCTTTCAACTAATGTGGAAGAAAACCCAACAAACCTCAGCCTGAGTTACTGAAGAAACACATCTGACCTTGCGGGTTTTATAGCAGTGTGAGAAATCCTGCTGCATGTTTACCTCAAGTACACACAAATACCAAACATTCTGTCCTTCAGATACAGAGTTTTTTTGGCAGAGGGATTTGTGTGCAGGAAGTGGCTGTGCTCTGGTACATGCTGCACAGCGCTCAGCGAGCTTTGCAACCAGCAATGCTGTGCAGTAAATTTTCCACTATTTTTTTAATGACACAGGAAGTCTTGCAACAGGTCTGTTAGTTTTCTTCCTCTTCTGTCATTAGTGCACTTCAGAGACTCGGGGCTGTGAAGTTTAGCTATATTTGATAATTTGTTCTATAATAGGATCCTAGCAGATAAAAACAAACCCAGCAACTGCAATACTTAGAGAACAGAAACTATCTCTCTGTCTTCAAGTAGGAACATTCTTTGGAAATACAAGCCAGTAAGTTGTTTATTCTCTATAGGCAAAATGTCCCATGCAAGGTTTAAAGTGATGCTCTTTTATGTGCTGATTCCTGAAGTAATTTCTCAAAGCAGCTTTAAAGATTGGGAGGGCTACAATAAAATAAATACAAGCTTATAGAAGATGCTTGGATTTACTACAGTAAATGTACTTGGAGAATCTGATATCTCTGCTCCCAAAGTTCTTGTTTGCACTCTTCAGCTGTCAGACTGGTAAGAAAACAGAAATACCTTAGATGTCAAGACACAGAAGAGCTAAAATGAAGCATCATTATTATCACAGAGACAATGCCCACTGATTTTTGAAGAGTAGAGTCTGAACTACAGTTCCAGATCCCAGCGTCCTGCATACCACTGGTTCTAACTATACGCTTTGTTTAAAAGGGCATTTGTCACTTACAGGATGAAAGGATCCATCCTGCCAAGATGTTCACCCAGGCAGAATCCATGGAAGCTAGGGGAGGCTGGCCATATGGCACCATCAGGTCAAAAATACTAGATAAATTCCCCTGGAAACAATAGAAAAGCAGACCAAATATCCCTGATAGACATCTTCTTTCCCTGATGGGACAGGACTGTTGTGGGAACTGTGGTAGGTGTGCATGCTGGAATATACCTGGAGCACCAGAAAAATACTTCAGTGTTTCTCTCACTCTCTAATTAAGAAATATAGCTGCTGTCATCATTACATCAAATTTTAAAGCTCTTCACGAAATTGCAAAACTCTCCTTTCCCTGTGGCGCACTGAAACAATAGCTGTAATGATCCCAGCCTACTGTGTCAATATGCATTTGAAGGTGTCTAAAGGTCAGTGACAGAATACAATGGTCTTTGTGGGGCTCTGGAGAAATGGCTATTGTGCAGCAGTGAGCACTTTCAGCCTCTTTAATTGGCAGCTTTGCACATGCAAACTAACTACGTGAACTAACGCCCTGCATAATGAACGATTAATATTCCTGTGCGGTAGCAGCTTTTCTAATTTTTGCTTCTAATTTAAATACCTTGGCGAATTTTCATTAGAAAAACCTTGTGTGACTTAGACCATTTAAGGCGTAGAAGCAAAAATCTTTGGAAGGAAGGAGATGCATATAGTCACACCCATCTGCACATTAAAAAGCAGATGAGTCTGACAGTCATTCAATTTTGTTTACAAGAAAGGCTTCCACTCTACATGGTTAACCCTGGCATAAATTTCTACACTCAAGCTACTATCCCTCGGATAACAGACAGCTGCAATGAACTTACTGACGTACCCTTTGTTCAACTTCAACAAAAGGAAAAATAAAGAACTGGTTTTTAGCCCCTCTGAGTCCACTGAGCATTCTACTAAATTTTGAGGCTAAAAGATCTGTGTTCTCTAAGTAAGCTGATTTACTTCAGTTGCTAAGCCTAGACCAGCTAGTCAAAACCTGAAGAGTCCCGTGCTTCCCCTCGCGGCATCTGGCAAGATATGTAGAGGTGAACTGATAGCAGCCACTTCGGGTGCCTGCAGATTAGACATTACATCCAGCTCTTTCTCTGTTTGAGTCTGGCAAATGCTCTCAGCCTTCTGGTATCACGTTGCCAGATCCTCTGCCGATGCTGCTCAGAGCACTTCAAGCCAAACAAGGACTGTCAGGAGCTGATAATTTACTGTGATTTCTCTCATGAGAAACAGATTGAGTTTGAAGCTCCTGTGATCAGCAGTTCAACCTAAACCCTTTCATGCCTCCTCCTTCCATCTGTAACATGGGACTCAGTTAAAACTCTGCCTTATGCCATGGGAATTTGTTAATGACTCCAGTGTTACAAAGCTGTACATTTCTTTGAAAGCAACCGGTCCTTTTCTGTGGCTTTAATATTAAAAAAAAGACAAGATTTGGAATGGGATGTTAGCATGCAGTCCCAGTAGTGATTTATTGCAAGTGTCCAAGTATTATGAATTCATTTAATATTTAGTGCAATAGCAGCCATCCTTCACAAAAAATTAATTTAATATTTATATGGCTGTCCAAGACAGTCCTTTCTTCAGCAGTTTCACTGTAAATCAATGAAGCATTAATGGGCATAAATGCCCTAGAGAAATCTACACCGATTGGTTACAGACTCTGTGGGTTTTGAAAAGAGATAAGAAGTTTACAGAGGACGTATCTGATGACTTTCAGGAATTAAGTTTTTGAATGAAAAAAAAAGATTGTTTACATTTTCCATTCGCAGACTACTGTTTAATTGTCTTCTAGGAAATCTGTAATCTACTGAAACAGCTGTGTAATTATTGAGTTTTCTTTGTCTGGTCACTACATTTCCAATTGACTGCAAACTGTGTTTGACGTCCCTACCTCCTGAACCTGCCAAGGTCAGACCTTCGTATCTGTGTTGATGGATGGATTCACAATATGGACAGCACTGCTCCCATCTCCTGGTTACTGCCCACATGCTTAACTGAATTTAAATCATCACCTTTGTGTTGCTCAGGTTTTATTCTAGGAGGTTCAGAGTCAAAACTTCCAAACCATTAATTTCTCAAGGATCAATACTTTGTTCAAAAAAAACAAAAAACAAAAAAAGCAAAAGAGTGAAATTAGCTCTTTCAAATAAATCCTAGGCTGTTTCTAGCTAAGACAAAAAGGATTGAACATAGCCAGTATAGGCAGGCCAGAATTTCTTACTTCTTTAGCAAAGCCTATGTTTGAGACTCCATTCCTACGGTGTAACACGGAGGAATCTCAGTGGAAATCAGTCTCTGGAGCACAAAGGTGGGACGGGCAGTGTTTCTGTGATCCTGAAGCATACACCTGGGGAAGCCAGCACTTGGACAGGTGGAAGGTCCCTTGGTATGTCGCTGTGGGAATGTTTGGAAAAGTGAGTACAGTCTGAGCTTAAGAACTCCTGAAGAACTAGATCAAAATTAAAGTCTCAGATATGTAAATGTTGAAATATTTTGCTTCACAGTAATTGGGGATGATTTTTCCCCTCATTAATAACCCCACTTGAAGATAATAACTAGCTCTTCTTTCAGCTTCAGAGATGAGATGAGCATGGAATGCAGCTACTTCGCTGATGACTGAGTGATAACGGAGTCCCCCGTCTGCACAGTAATAATCATGCCATAATCCAAATACCAATTATATGTACTGGCTATATTAATACAGATCTTCTTTTTTTTTTTAACCATCCTAATAAACAGAAAATTCTGCTTTAGTTTCGTTCATCTGCAGCTCTAGTACTTAATTTCCCACCTATCCAGGTTCATTAAATAAATGAGGAAACTTTACTGCAGCTGATAGAAAAACTGGCTGTAGCCATTGAAATGAGGTAATTTCTCATGCAACACCTATATCTTTGGATATGCATTTATCATTTGCAGTTTGCCACTATTTCTCATGAGGCATAGATGACATACTGAACAAGACAACAGTAATTATACTACACAATTACTTTTGATTTGGGGGGAAAGACTAGTTTTGTGTCATATATTGACTGGAAATACTTGCCAAAAATATAGTTTTTAATGGAGGCAACTGCTTCTGGCCAGAAATCTGTTGTTATAATCTCAGTATACAAGTTGCATGCCAAGGAACAAAAAGGATTTTACGAACATAACACTATTAGCTTTTAAATACTGGTGAGAGTAACATGCATACTTGCATGCGCAAGCGTATTAGACTTATGGGCACTAATATGAAGACAATTAGTATTAAATCCAGGAGAAA